AAAAAAGAACAAGAGCTTTTTAAAAAAAGAAAAAAACCCTGAGGGTAGGGATATATATATATATAGGAGGAGGTGCGGGATTCCCCAAAACTGTTGCCCCAGGGGGCTGAGGAAGGGTTTTTAGAGGGGGGTTTCGGACTTTTGTAAGAGAAGGGAGCGAAACAGAATGCCCTTCAAGAGTGTATCAGGTCTGAAAGGGGAAAAGGAAGGGGGGGGAAAGGGGTTTGGGGCCTAGGAAGGGTTGGAGGGAGGGGGTAAAGGAGGTTTTTTTGTGCGGGGGGCTTGGATTTTTCCAGCAGGTTTCGTGAGCGTGTTTGTAGGAGTGAAAGGAGACAAAAAGGTTTTTTAATTTCTTTAGTGCTGTTGGGAGTTTGAGCAAAGTAAAAATTTATGAAGGATTCGGGAAACCCGGGAGGCCGGTTTGAGCCTGGAGTGGGAAAGGGACCCGTTTCCTGCACTCTGAAGGAGGGGGGTTAATTTGCAGTTTAAAAACCCGTAGTGTAAAGCACCCCCTTTGGCAAGGGCCGTGTGGAGTGAATGATGGTGAAAGTTTTTCTTTTTCCCGGGGCCCCCTGCCTTGGTGGGAAACGGCCGGTGTGATTTTTAAAAAAAAAAAAAAAAAAAAAAATCCAAATGTTACTCACATTAATTTACAAAAAATGTTAAAAACCCAACTTTTTTATTTTTTTTTTTAAAAACACTACCCAACAGAAAACTCCATTCGGGCGGGAAAGAACAGCAATGGGGATGCAACCCTATGACCTGTCTTTTTAATATATTTGATTTTAAAAGTTATCTGTTTTTCAATAAAGTCTTTTTCACTGATTTCATCATTGCTTGTTAAACTTTTAAATTAATTGTAAAGGGCCCGCCCGTAATGCTATGCATATAAGTGGCTTTGGCATGCCGCTCCTTTTCCTGTAATTTTTTTTTGTACCTTGTATGTATTAAATTTTTAAATAAAAAAAAAAATAAATAAATAAATTTTAAAGAAGTGTTTTATAAAAATTTTTGCTGCTGGGGGAGAGAACGTTTCACCTACTTTTGGACATTTACCCCCGTTTAAATTTCTAAAAATAGAAACAATGTTCTTTTAGCCCAGCCCCTCCCCAAAAATTTGGAAAAAAAAAAAAAAATTTTTCTTTTTATTTAGAAATAAAGTGCAATTTTCACTTGCCCTGGAATAAAAAAAAAAATTTTTTGGGTTTAAATACTTTCCGAGAATTTTGAGCCCCGTAAAAATTGGGACTTTATCACCTGACGGCAATGTTGGGGTCCTGCCGCTTGCGGGTTTTTTGCCGTATACCTTTTTTTTTCTTTTTTTTTACAAATTTGGGCCCACGACTTTACGATATTAATCTGTTTTTGAGAGCACATCGTAAGATGAAAAATTTTAATTTTGTCGAATTAATTTTTCCCCCTAAGAAATAATGGAAATCAAAAATTAAACCGTTTAAGACCCAAAAAATAAAGAAAAAAAAAATTTTTACCACATGAAATATACCCTTTTTTCCACACCAAAAAAAGGAAACTGCACAATATATATTGGTAATGAAGAATAAAAAGACCCCCTCACCTTTACTGAAGATGTGAAGATGATGGGATGGGAGGAGGGGAGATGTGGAGGTGTATTATTTTTTTTTGGGAAAGGGGGAAACCCTTTCCATAAGGACCAAAGGTGGCTTAATTAGCATTACAAGCACTAAAAATACTTTGGGAAACAAAAAAGCTTTCCCAAGTATGGTGGAAGTTGGAACCCCACTGGCTTGTAAACATTGGAAAATAACTGAAGGGAGGGGAGCTGAGGGCACGCTCAAGGCCCGAGAGACGCGTGGGGCAGATTTGGGACGAAAGAATTTTAAAATAAAGTTTTTTTAACTAGGTCGGGGTTTAAATTTTTACCCCTGACAAGCATCGAAATCGGGTTTTGGAAATATAAAAAAATATGCAGTTTTAAAGTGTTTCCTTTAAATGAAAAATGTTTTGCCCCCACAGTGGGCCTTTTTTTAAGTCACTAACAACTAAACCTGGGGTGGAAGGTACGCGAGTATTTATAGACAGGTTCAGAATGCTGGGTCAGGTGGAGAATGCTGCATCTGACTATTTACCGAGTGGGGTTATAGAGTGTAAAATCTTGGGTAGCTTGGATAAGTATATGAGTAGACCTTCTGCAGTGTTCCTCCATTCCTATGTTCTTATGTGGGATAGCGATGAAGAAGTTTCTTGGCAAGTGGTTTAGCTATGTTATAGAAGCCATTGTTCTGGTTGAAGGCGAGGATTCCAGGATTCTTCGGTATTGAGTGTTGTCTTCTCTGGTGATAAGTCTCGAGTTTCTGTAGTTTATTAAATGGTTGTGTGAATTACGGTGTTGTACACAGGTATTCCTTGGATCATCAGACCTGCTTGCGTATTGGTGTTCTGAAATACGTGTTTGGAGGTCTCTTGATGTTTTGCCCATGTATAATTTGCTGCAGTCATTACAAGGAGTCATTACAAGAAGAAGTCGACAACACTCTTCCTTTCCTTGACATTCTTCTCTGCAAAGCTGACCATGAAATTCGTTTTAAAGTCTATCGAAAACCCACCAACCAAAACGATCTTCTCCACTTCTACTCTCACCACGACACTAAAACTAAACGTGGTGTAATTATAGGCTTTTTCCTGTGAACACTCAGAATCTGCAGCAATGAGTTCCTTGAGGAAGAATGCACTATAATTGAACAAGTATTTTCCAAACTCCACTATCCTCGTCACTTCATCAGAGACTGCAGACGACGGGCATTAAACATCTTCAACACACCCAGAGAAGACACTGCCGAGAAGAGATACATAGTCCTCCCCACCAACTCCATTGCCAAACACGTTTCCAACATCTTTTCCAATACCTCATTCCAAGTATTTACCTCCACAACCACGACCATCAAGGACATTACCAGTGATAGACAGGACAAGCTTCCATCCTCTGCAGGGGTATACATAATCCCTTGTAATGACTGCAGCAAATTATACATGTATGTGGGCATAACATCAAGAGACCTCTAAACACGTATTTCAAAACACCAATACGCAAGCAAGTCTGATGATCCAAGGAATACCTGTGTACAACATCGTAATTCACACAACCATTTAATAAACTACAGAAACTCAAGACACCCAAAATATTAACAAAAATACATTTTTTAAAGATTAATTATAGTTTTACATACACAAAACAATGAGAACTAAATAAAATAAATAAATTAACATTTAAATCACTATTACATACCTTTATTGAAGACTCTTGTTGGCTAATGGAGGAGAGAGGAGGACTCATTATTGTTTGGAAGGGAAATCTCCCTGCATAAAGACTTCAGGTACCAAAGCCCTCTCTGGGGTTACTGCCCTCCCTGCCTGCTAGCCTACTACACTCCATGCCTTCCTCCTACACTCCCTGCCTGCCTGCTACACTCCCTGCCTGCCTGTTACACTCCCTCCCTCCATGCTACACTCCCTCCCTCCCTTCCACACTCCGTTTGGATGAATGAGCAGAAGCTTCCTCATTCGCCCAGAGACAAAGCCAGACTGACGTGTGAATGGCTGGCGACAGCGGGTTGATGCATCCCACACAGCCGATAGCTGGAAACCAAAAAAATGGTCGATAACCGAGTTGGCCGATAAGCGGAAGGGCCGATAACCGAGGGTCCACTGTATTTTATACAATTTTTATGTTCTGATTATTATTATAATCAAAAAGAAGCGCTAAACCACAAGGGTTATACAGCTTCATGTTCTGATAATTACAATTTATAGTAGTTCTTGTGATTTTATAGCCAATCTTTGTTCTAACACTAATATTATGTACTGAAATTGTACTCAGTCACAAACACACTGACAGGTCAACATTTACACCTGCCTTGGTCATTTACTATTGTCTAGGAACATATACAAAGTATTTATAGGTCCCAGCAATGTTTTAGACATGCTGGAGTATATATGAAACTACTTGTAGGGCAGTGTTAAGAAGAGTATTGCTAAACTGCTGACAGGGTATGCAGTGGAGTGACACTTGATGATCTTGCACTGTTGCATGGAACCCTGGCTTTATTTGTTTTCACTGTTACACAAACATGTCTGTGTCTGTCTAGCTATGTCTGTTTTATCTGTCTTTCTGTCTGCCAGTGTGTGTCTGTGTGTGTCAATACGTGGAACAGTCTTCTGAGTAGGGTAATCGAGGCTAGGCCCCTGGGTAGCTTTAAAAATAAGATCTGACAGATATATGAATGGGAGGGGCTGGGTTTGATTGGTGTCCTGGGTACGGGAGTAATTTCTTGGGTAACTCTGGGAAGGAGTGGTTTTGATAAGGACTTGCCTTGTATGGGCCAGTAGACCTTCTGCAGTGTTCCTCCATTCTTATGTTTCTTTTAGTACAGCATTGTATGACCCATGTAATTTATAATAATTCCCTTTAGTTGTGTCTGCTAAATGTTTTGATACAATGGAATACATTTTACTATACATCAAAACTCTGACAGTTAACTCCAAGGCAACCCACATCACTGCCAGTCTGATCTGTACAAGCTATTCCTGCCTCTTCACTGTCTCCCATTACAATTTCATGAGTCAGTTAATTTAGATCTAATTTGCCTGAAAAAGGCTATTAGACATTCTGAATGCTGATAACTTCCTTTTTTCATGAACCTTTAAATGTTTTGATAGATTTGACTTCAATGAAAAATCTTTTTGACACTCTGAACACTGATACGGTTTCTCTCCTGTATGGATTCTCCTGTGATTCATTAGAATATATTTGCCTGAGAAGGTTTTTAGACACACTGAACACTGATATGGTTTCTCTCCTGTATGGATTTTCCTGTGAGTCCTGAGACTTGATTTGCATGAAAATGTTTTTAGACACTCTGAACACTGATGAAGTTTCTCACTTGAATGATCTTTCAAGTGTTCTGAAAGATCTGTCTCTACTGAGAAGGATCTTTGACAAAATAAACATTGAAATGGCTTCTCCTGTTTATGAGCTTTTAGGTGTTTAATTATATATGGCTTAAATGCAAAGGCTGTATGACACTCTGAACACTGATATGGTTTCTCTCCTGTATGAACTCTCATGTGGGTGGTTAGAGCCGATTTTTGTGAAAAGGCTTTTAAGCACTCTGAACACTGATAAGGTTTTTCTCCTGTATGAATTCTCAGGTGTTTTCCTAAAACTGACTTTAACGAAAGGATTTTTTACAAAATGAACACTGATATGGTTTCTCTCCTGTATGACTTCTAATGTGGTTTGTTAGATCTGACTTTACTACAAAAGCTTTTTGACAATCACCACACTGATATGGTTTCTCTCCCGTATGAGCTCGCATGTGGATAGTTAGATTTGATTTTTTTGAAAAGGCCTTTAGACACCATAAACACTGATATGGTTTCTCTCCTGTATGAACTCTCATGTGAATAGCAAGATCTGTTGTATTTGAGAAGGCCTTTACACACACTGAACACTGATGAGACTTCTCTCCTGTATGAACTTTTAAGTGTTTTCCTAGATTTGACTTTCTTTTAAAAGCTTTTTGGCAAATTGAACAGTGATATGGCTTCTCTCCTACATGAGTTATAAAATGTTTTGTTAGATATGACTTTGTTGAAAAAAATTTTTGACACTCCGAACACTGATGTGGTTTTTCTTTCGTATGAATACTCATGTGAGTGGTTAGGTGTGATTTTTGTGAAAAGACTTTTAAACACACTGAACACTGGTAAGGTTTCTCTCCTGTATGAACTCTCATATGGATAGCTACATATGATTTTTCTTTAAAAGCCTTTTGACACACTGAACATTTAAATGGTTCATCTCCTTTTTGAACTCTCATGTTGGTGGTTAGATCTGACTTCTTCAAAAAGGACTTTAAATACCCTGAGCAATGATAATATTTTTCTCCATTATAAATGCCTAAGTGTTTTCTAGATCTGATTTTACTGCAAAGACTTCTGAACACTTTAAACATAGATATGGCTCCAGACTTTCATAAATATTCATGTGACTTTTAAACTTGATTTCATGACAAAGTTTCTTGAGTGAGAACTTTCACATTAATATAGTATGTATTTATCCATGTGCTAATTTTACCCGTAAGATCCATTAAATGGTGCATAAAAGGATGCAAACTGTGCATAAAAAAAGATAGAAGATGGAACAAAATTTTGCTTGTTAATAAAACTTAAGTGTAAAAGACAAATATAAAGAAATGAGTATGAAAAAAAAAAAAAGCCCAGAGGAAAAATGAGAGACAAAACAAAGTTCCCAATCCTTTACATATGATGACAACTTCGATGGTGCAGATATAATCCCTAAACAATAGACGGTAATGAAACCTCTGAAAACCAGGTTAGGAATCTACAAACAGATGTTGGCAGAAAAACACAACAGAACCAGACAAGATAGTATCATGGGTCATAAAAGGACGTTAAAAAAAACTAAGGGATCTTCTCTAGCAATGCTTTGAGGCAACATTAAGAGATTACACTGGCAGATATATAGAAAATGACATACATTATGATGATGGTAAAAAAAGTAGCAGAGTGGGAAGCCCCTGAATATATGTTAGACCAAATTTATTTTAGTATTGGAGGTTTGGTGTTCAAGCCTAAATAAACTGAACTGAACAAGCAAGAAAATAAAAAGTTCAGAAGTTCAGTATAAAGTGGCAAAAATAAAGGTTGAATGCACTGGACATACTATATTAAAATAGCAAACAAAAAAAAATAGGAGGAACTATAAGGAAAATTTTTTACCACCACCATATGAAAGAACAAAAATAATCACAGCTATAATCTGAGGAAAAGAAAGAGTCAAGAGGATACTAGAAAGAGCATTCCTTAAAAAAAGTAACAGAATAATGGAACAGGTTAAAAGAAGTAGTGGTGTTACAACACCTGTAAATTAATAGTAGTTTTATTAAATACTGAAGATGGGACACCACAATTTAGTTCCTTCAGTATCTACGATAGATGATCACGAAGGTAAATTTAGAAGGAAGGAAAAAAAAAGTTAAGAATGTTGTAATCAAAGTTAATGCAACTGCTGAAAAGCATATAATTAGTCAGTATTTTATTTAAAGTTCACAAATCAATGTCAAGAAATGTATATAGTTTACTTAATATTAGGCATACCATCATTCATATTTCATAATTTATATTATAAAATTTATATTCTATAATTTACATTTTCCATATCAGGTTATTTTCCAAAACAATATAGAACAAACTAATGTTCTGCAGCATTCTGCATCTCTTGGAACCTCCTTAAAATTAGGAGTAATATTGTAATGTGCAGATGCAGTTTTTATTTGTGAATTAATTCAAATAGTCACTACTGCTGAGGGTGATTATCTTCTACAAATATCTGACAGTGGGAATCGTCCACAGGCTGTAGAGAATTTGCATGTTGACGAGCTTTAAAACTGAGCATGTAGTATATCAGAGGCTACAGTAGGCATTACAACCCACATTACTGAAACACTACCTGCTGATTTCTGCCACTGACATGAGCTCTTGTATCACTGAATGTTCACAAGCGTAATTCTTCT